TTCTTATATAATTTCATGTGTTTTTAAGGCACCAATTATTATTATGAAATGCAAACTCAAGAAAAAAATTGAAATTTTGACCTTTAGATGGAGCATTTCAGCATTTAGTGGAGAGTTTTGTGGTTGTTCCTGTTATGCGTCAGTGGATGTCAAAGAGATCTGAGATACATTAAGTCTTTTTCTCCCTCTTCTCTGTGAAATGGGCTAGCAACATTTTTCTAAAGTATCCTGTCTTTCCATCAGTGTTAGAAATGGATACATGCATGCAATGCACAGATAGCAGCAGACAAAATGTTTAAAGAAAATTTATATTGAAAGCATTAAATGAAAAAAATTGGAATAAATATTATCTAGGTTCATGTAGCTACCTAAAATAGTTCCTTTTCCTCTTTCTTTCCTTCTCCCCCTCCCAATTATATTAATATTACAAAGCTCTCAGGTCTATTTTGGATTAAGTCCAAACGTCGGAGAATAATGCAGTTTTACCAAAGGTGGAAGGAAACTTTTACTTCCTTATAGCAAATTCTGCCTCCTTGACCTGCCCAAAGGAGAAAGAAAAGTCCTTTTCTTTATTCTATTCGGAGGTTTTAATCCTTAATTAGCAACATCATTTTGATTAAATAAGACTCTGGAGGATTAAGACTAGAGAGCAATCAGTTGTTCTGAAAGATAGCTCTGGAGAATTTATTGTACTGTGGTCTTAGTCGTTCAGAGTTGTATTTAATCAAAGTGACATTTCTCAGTGTTGATTACAAAGGAGACATTATATGAATGAAATATTTCCTTGGGGAACTGGAGGGGATTCCCAAGGGGTTTGTGCTTGAGGACATTGGAAAGGGAGATGAGGGATGGGGTGAAAATGAATTTCTGTCACCAGGCCAAATTTTGGATGAACACATTTCGATTTGGTTATTATTATTTCCTAATTTCAATAAAATCCCAATAAAAAGAACCATGCAGTATTTTTCAAACCTAAAATTAAGCACCTAGAAATATGTATAAAGAATCAAAGTGTTATTCTTTAAGATGATAAAAGACGGGAGAAATGAAGCTCCTTGAAGGCTGAACCTGGTTGTTTTGTTTTGTTTTGTTTTTTGTTCTTCTCAGTTCAAATACTAAACTACAGGAAAACTTTTATGAACAGCTGCTTGTGGCAGTTTATGGAAATGCACCTTCATTCTATTCCTGTACCTACTGCAGGGGTTGGTGGCAAGATGGACAGAGACCCTGTGGGGCAGCCAGCTGTCAGGATCCTGGCTCTGTCACTCAGGAGTCATGGTCTTCAGCAGGTTCCTTCAACCTCTGAGTCCCAGGTCCCTCATCCATAAAATGGGGATACTATGGAGGGCCCTTCTATAGCCTTTACACAAAGAATCCTAGCGCATTATAGGGCGCTCAGATCAGGACAGCTGCGACTGTTATGACTGAACGGTGAAGAAGTCATCAGCTAAAACTATTGTCCAACTTCTGGGAGAGAGGGAAGCCATTTTAGGGGGAGGCCATCTTTACAATGAATAGCCCACTGATTTAGAATCTAGTTCTCCAAGTCAAAAATGCCTCCAGAAATTACAAGCCTGGTTCATATATTGAATGTCAGTAGAGTCTTTAAAAAACCAACATACCACTTGAGTCTATAACCACTTGAAGATGGTATCCAGTTGCATTTCTAGCACAGATGTCAGATGTTCATAGTTCTGGGACCTTTAATGAGATGCGCCACTGCATCTATACCACCTAAAGCTTCCCAGCGATCACGTTAAGTAGTGTAGCCCGGAAGTCCCACGCATGGAAAGCATCACGTCTGAGCAGAGCTGCCAAAATGTAGGTGAGAAAAAGCTCTCCTAGCCAACATTGCCATCTGGTACTGGATCTTCCTCAACTATGTACTTCATTGAAAAGAATAAAGCTAAACTCCCTGAAATCAAGAGGCATGACAGTCTGCCAACATCTCCTTGTGTCATTATCAGACCCTGGCTCTTTCAGCATTTTCCAAAATCTGAGGTGTACAATTACGAGTCGCCACACTGGAGATCACCTAGGTAAATACACCTGTGCAGAAACTTTTCCGGAAGCCAGAAAGAATGGTGAATAATTAAGTCTGCTCACGACCGTAATTTTAAATTCTACCGCAATTAACCTTAAATCTCGCTTCCACGTTTCTCTACTTACTTCACCTGGTAATTTGCATCCCATCTGCAGGTCGTAGTCTGTTGCTCACCAGCTACCAGAGTGAACTGTACATGATTTAAAAGGCCCAGAGAGTATATGGGTAAATTTCTTGAAGAAGTCTAGAGACTGACTTTTTCCATCCCAGAAATTCTGAATCTCTGGTACTCAATTTGATTCTATAGAATATCTGTCTCATACTAAAATGTTCTGATTGTAATACACTTGCTCAAATTTAATGTCTTTTATCTTAAAAAAAAAAACATGAGAGGTGAAAAAAAGTTATTATCCCACAGCCTTTATTCCTGCAGCTGTTTTAATATTCACTTGAATGTTATTTGAGAGCAGTGAGTCTCAATCTTAGACGTCCATGAAAACCACCTGAGGACTTTTACAAAAGGTCCTGCCACCGGAGGCTCTGGTTACGCTGGTTTGAGGTGGGAACCAGAGATCAAGGTTTTTCTTTTTCAAGCTGCCTAAGTAAATCAGGTTTGAGAACCATTGCTTTCAAGCAGTGTTGTGTGACTTTAAGAATCACTTGACGGATTTGTTAAAAAATGTTCCCATGCCCCACCTCCAACCTCTTAGATCAGAATTTCCTGGGAGTAGACCTGGGAAATGTGCATTTTTAGCAAGGGCTTTGGAATTCTGGAAACAGGTCCAGAGACAGAAGGCAAAGGGGATTCCAAACATGGTCTAGCTATATTCTTGAAAAGAAAGGAAACCCAACATTGATGGAAGGCATCTATTTTTGTGCCAGGATAATTTGGAAATTTTTGATGATTCATAATCATTTTTCAAGACACTGAAAAATCTACCTGAGTTGGGGGGGGTTATAGCTCAAGTGGCAGAGCATATGCTTGGCATGCAGAAGGTCCTGGGTTCAATCCCCAGTACCTCCTCCAAAAATACATAGACCTGATTACCTCCCTCCTCTGCCAAAATAAAATAATTAAACAATATAAGAATAAATAAATAAAAATATTTTAAAAATCTACCTGACTGAGAAATTCTACCTAATCCTTGAGAAGAGAAACAAAATATGAATTTACATAATCCTGCCATACTAAAATCATAATTTATAAGGTCCATTTCAGCTAACAAAATTAAAGCAGTTCATAGGACAGTCTTATAAATATTCATTAATACAGGCATAACTCGTTTTATTGTGCCTTGCTTTATTGTGCTTCACAGCAATAAAACTGTTAAATTTTATAATTACATTAAAATTTTATAGTTACATAATTATATATTTACATTAAAATTTACAAATTGAAGGCTTGTGGCAACCTTGCATCCGGCAAGTCTATCGACACCATTTTCCAGCATTTGCTCACTTTGTGTCTCTGTGTCGCATTTTGGTAATTCTCACAATATTCCAACTTCATTATTATTATACTTATCATGGTGATGTGTGATCCGTGGTCTTTGACGTTACTACTACCATGTGCTGAAGGCTCAGATGATGGTTAGCAATGTTTAGCAACAAAATTCATAGACTATGATATACCATAAACATAACTTTTATATGCACCGAGAAACCAAAAAATTCATATGACCTGTTTTATCTCGGTGTTCTGGAACCCAACCCAAGGTGTGCTTGTACCCAGAATATCCTGAGTTGTGTACTGAGGAATAGCTTATAAAAGTAGCTTCTTAAAAAAATCACTAGACCTTCCAAAATTCTATTTGCATGGGCTCTAACCAAGTTTAACAAGTGCTACCTGCTCACCCTAATAACCGCAGGCACCTCCTTCGTCATTTTTGCCAAAATTGGAAGCTTTCGGAAAATAACACTCAGAATTCCTCTGCAACATATAACCATGTAAATGAGAAAGTACTGAGGAAAAACAAAACAAAACAAAAAGAAAGAAATTTCTTACAGTTCTTACTGATCCTGTGGCCTCCTGTTTTTCTGAAGCCTTGCTCAGTCTCTTCAGCTTGGTAGGTACATCAGCAGTGACTTCTGTTTTCTCAGTAAATACACAGTGGTTCGAAGATCTTAAAATCAGGAAATGAGAAAATGATACACACTGTTATCAAAAAATTCAACAAAATAGATTTGAAGCCCTCACCGGCTTTATTAGGCAATTCACAAATTGAGCGACATTGCGTCTAGTAAGCAGAAGGGTGCTCTGAGGGGCTGTGCGAAATGGAAGGTTCCTATAGGAAGACAGGTGGGCAAGGGAGTTATTATCAGAAGAAAAAATAGGGCTATTTTTAGGCCAGGATGTCTTCTGAGGAGGAGGAGGGTCGCAGCCAGGGTTTTCCCAAGTAGCTTGGCTCTTCATCCCCCGGGGATGGAGAGGGTCCGTAGGATGGATTACCTCCCTGGGGCTGCCCAGAAGATTTCAGACTGGTTGAGTATGATTACATTTCTAAGGAAGCGTGAAACTGCAGTTAAGCCGAGTATGAAGTCTGGGTTTGGTATCACGGGCTTTAGCACAAGTGGTGCCATTTGGGGGCTGTGGTTTTCCCTTCGACAACATAAACAACCGTTAAAATTGGGACGTTGGCAGAAGATAGGGGAACAAAGAGAAAGAGAATGAGAACGATTTCAGAGAGTGAGAGAGGCAGAGATAATGAGAAAAAGAGAGCGAAGCATTTCCCCCAATTTCTTAATTAAAAATAAACCTTTTACCTTAATCTTGCTGTCTATGCCCCCAAATCAATGATCTTCCTTTAATTAAACTGCCTTTTCTTCAATAGCACTGTGGGGGAAAATTTATGGATGAAAAAGTAGGAACAGCAAAATTTCCTTTCGGTTCTTCTCTCTCCAAATTCATGTCTGCCAGAGTATTCTTTGAAGTACTTCAATGGGGCAATAGTTACGCTAAAAGAAGCAGAGACTGACAACAGTCAGCCACGAAGAAATCAGCACCCCAGTGATTCCTAGACTCTCCTAAACAGTTCAGTTTTAGCCAATTGAAGAGCCACAAATCCCCTTGTGAATTATCTCAATATTGTTCAACGCAGAATAAAATGTTCTGTCTGAACTCTTTGAATTGTCCGTTAAGGCTGTGAAGACCTGAAAGTTTGCCTCCCCTTTGATACCTTCTCAAGTAGGTTGGGAAAGGCCATTGAAAACTGTTTCTCTTAATGGAAAAAAAAAAATATATATATATATATATATGTAGATATAACTGAATCATTTTGCTGTATATTGAAAACATTGTAAATAAACTATACTTCAATTAAAAAAAATTGTCATGTAAGTATTGGTAATAATAAACCCTAAGCAGCCTCAAAAAAACCTGTTCCTCTTACAACCACTTAAAAATAAGTCTGAAGCATGTCAAAATTGGTCAAAGAGATGACGTTAAAAATTATTACTAAATAAGGTGACTATTTAAAACAAATAATCTCAGACTTTTGCAGCAACAGGGTATTTTTTTCCTTCATCTGTATGCAACACCATAGAATCACGAAGACAAAAAAAAAAAAGACCACTTATATTTACTCCCAGTTATTTGCAGTTCCCAGTCTGTGTTTAAACGTAGACTAAAGAAACATATTTTTACTGCTGCTTTCAATTTTCCTTAATCACTGGTATTTGTTTTGCTTTAGTGCTTTGCTCTCTGACTTTCTGTGTGAGAGGTGCTTTATATATTCAATTTGCTGGTGAGCTATGAGATGAAAGGAGTCTTAATGGTGAGTTTGAAGACTGTAGATTTTTATTTCTTGTTTTTTTTTACAGTTGATACATATACAATTTCACCCTTAATTATCTATGGCTTGTCCTGTCCATGGATCAACAAAGACATATATAAAACATGACTGTACTAGGTAATTCTTTCAGAAAATTACACAATCAAGTAGGTTCGGAGGCATTTGTTAAAATACACTCAGTACTTTATATGTAATCTCTTCCTTTCCGTAGACATTCAGCACTATAATTCTTTGGTTTCTAAGTACATTTCACAAGATGTCAGCCTTGGAAGAATTGTAATTTTCCTTGACCCTCTTTAGAGCAACTCAGTTTACGTCTCTCTGAGGTGTCCTGAAGAGTCACATGGAGTCCTCTTAGATTTTCTCAGCAATACTTAGCATTTGAAAAAAAGAGTTTCTTAGAGATTGAAAGACTGTAACGTTGCCTGCAGCCCACTTCCCTTGGGGGCTACAGCCACAACGTGCAGCTTGCAACAGCCCCCAGGGAAGATCTGAGGCTAAGCCTAACGACAATTTCCAGTTGTCCTAGGAAATTCTGACTTCGTACCTCCCCTGCACTGTGATCAATACATTATTGTTAGTGGATTACAATAAATCGGTTTAGTCAGCATGGCCATGTTGCCATGTTGGACACTGGATTACTTTCCTAGGTCAGTTCCTGAGAGTTTATGTTCATTATCTTGAATGGGGTGATCATTTCATGGGGGCACATGCATTCAAAACTTATCAAATTGTGCAGTTTAAGTAATGCAGTTTATCATATCTCAGTTATGTCTCAATAAAACTGTTTTGAAAAAATAAAGAAAAAAGCAACAGGAATAAAGATAGTATGGTATTTCTGTAAGGGTAGATTAGCAGAATAGAACTGAGAACCAGAAAAAAGACCAATTCTCAGGTCAACTGATTTTCAACAAATGTGCTGAAATATTCAATGGGGAAAAGATTATCTTCTCAATAAATTCTAGAACAACTGGATATCCTATAGGAAAAAATTAGCCCATGACTCCTGACTGAAAAATTAATTCAGAGTGGATCACTGACCTTTCATAGAGATCTAAAACCATAAAACTGCTAAAAAAAAAATAGAATATTTGTGACATATGCTTAGGAAGTAGTCTTTACATAGGGCACAAAAGACATGAGCCAATAAAAAACTGATGAATGTTGAAATTAATTAAAATTAAAAACTTGCTTATCAAAAGATTCCACTAAGAAAATAATGAGGCAAGCCACAGCCAGGGAGAAAATATTTGTAGGATATATATTTGACAAACATGCTGCAAGAACATATAAAGAACTTTTACAAATCAATAACAGGAAGCTAACCCAAATGAAAAATCATAGAGGGATTCCAGGACAGACCAAGACAGTAGCCCCATTCCTTCCAGGTCCTCCTTTTTACATCTAAAGAACACTGGACATAACACAACAAATCAACACGGAAGATTCTGAAAGGTAGAAAGAATACAGACTCTGTCTAGAGATCCTAGAACTTGAGACTGGAGAGCAAGAGTTGTCTCGGTTTTCCTTTTGCCAACAATGAGGGCAAAAGTGAAATAAATAGGAAGACTCAACTCTTTAACTATGTAAACTTTCCCAGGTTCACCAGGCGTGTATTCAATATTCAGGTGTTGTCTGTGGCTTCTTTAGAGTTACAACAGAGTTGACTTGCTGCTGTAGAGACTATATGACTTGCAAAGCCTAAAATGTTTATTATCAGGCCCTTTACAGAAAAGTTTGTCAACTTCTGCTTTAGAGAAAAGAGAACCTGCTCTTAATACATCCATTCTAAATGGATAATGAAACTTAGAAGACATGGCCCATGTGTATTCACTTAGTAAAAAAGTTAATAAACGAAATGCAGATGGCCAACAGGCACATGAAAAGATGCTCAAGCATCACTAAGCATCAGGGAAACGCAAATCAAAGCCACACTGAGATGTCACCTCACACCTGTCAGAATGGCTATCATCAAAAAGAACACAAATAACAAATGCTGGTGAGGGAATGTAAATTGCTGCAGCCACGTGGAAAACAGTAGAGAGGTTTCTCAAAAAACTAAAAATAGAGCTACCATAGACCCAGCAATTCTACTCCTGGGTATATAGCCAACAAAAACACAGTAATTTGAAAAGATTCATTCACCCCAATGTTCATAGCAGCATTATTTACAATTGCCAAGATATGGAAACAACCTTAGTGTCCATCAACCAATGAATGCATAAAGAAGATGTGATATATACGTGTGTGTGTGTGTCTGCGCGTGTGTATACACACATGCGTGTGTGTGGACACACACACACACAATGGAATACTACTCAGCCACAAAAAGAACAAAATTTTGCCTTTTGCAGCAACCTGTTTGGACTTGGAGGGCATTATGCTAAGTGAAATGAGTCAAATAGAGAAAGACAAATACTATATGATATCACTTACATGTGGAGTCTAAAAACTACAACAAACTAGTGAATATAATAAAAATAAGAAGAAGGCTCACAGACATAGAGACTAAACTAGTGGTTATGGGGAGGGAGGAGGAATAAAGGGTTGGGAGGAGTGGGAGGTACAAACTATTGGGTGCAAGACAGGCTCAAGGATATACTGTACAATGTGGGGAATATAGCCAATGTTTTGAGATAATTGTAAATGGAAAGTAAACTTTAAAAATTGTACAGAATTTTAAAAAAGCTAATAGACAATATTTGCAAAATCTAGTTCAGCTACCATGCCACTGTTTTAGAGCTTTTACTTATTAAAAGCTTCAAATATATTAGGCATTGGTATCTGAAGTAGCCCAATGGTAATTCTGTTTTTGTCTCTGTATCCTAGGTTTTACTGGATCATGAACCTAAATGCAACTATTGTCTTTCTGGGAATATCTTATATCCAGCACTCAGGGACCTCGGCCCTGGTTTTACTCATTCCTTTTATGTCTACACTTATGGCTCTGATAACTTTCCATATGATGCGCTATAACCTGATCTATCAGCCAGAAAAATGTAAGTAAATCACCCTTTACGTTAATATTTTTTGGTTCTTATGGTTTTCTTGACACATCTCCCTCCTCTCTGAGTCCCTATAACTTCTTTCAACTCAGAATTTGTAGAGTCTGCCAGTTATTACACTTGAAAGCAACAGAGTCTGTAAGGAGAGCAATAATCTCTATCTTCTTTAATTTTTCCCTTGTTAAAACAGTTTTAATAGTGGAATATTTTTAACATAAACCAAAGTAGAAAAAAAAAGTCACATATGACCCTCATCTGTCTAACTCTCAGCTTCAGCAGTTCTCAGTTCATCACCACTCACTTTTTCCCCGTCCCAACCTGTAATTCTGAAGCATGTCTTATGTGTGAGTATAGAAAGACTTTTAAATACTTTTAAAGTATAATAACAGTGTCATTCACACACACAGACTTTCTTAACTTAATCAAGTTGTGTCTGGTTGCTGTTAAAATCTCTCTGATTGTTTCTATTTTAAAAATGTGTTTATTTTGTTTTGTTTTGTAATTTGTTCAAATCAAATACAGATGAGGCCTGTGTACTCCAAAGAGCAGCTATGTCCCTGAACCCATATATATTCCCCTCTTCCATCTCAGTCTCTCTCTTTTCAGTTTGTTTTAAAGTCATCTGAGCATTGCACGGAGCATTTCCCATAGTCTGGATCTTGCTGATGACATCCACGTGCTGTCGTCCAATAAGATTTTCTCTTCTTTATCTCCTCTAAGTTGTCTGATAGACATAGATCCTTGATTAGATTCAGATTTTTTTTTTGGCAAAATTCCTTCATAATAAAATTTAATTTTGTTTTAAATCATAAAGAGTTTCATGTATCTAAAATTCATGTACATAGAAATCAAACATGGCTTCCAGGAGTGAAGGAATGGGTGGAGGGATAAATTAGGAGTTCAGGATTGGCAGATACTAACTGCTATACCTAAAATAAATAAACAAGGTCCTACTGTATAGCACAGGGAAGTATATTCAATACCTTGTAATAGCATATAATGAAAATAATAAAAAGAGAAATATGTATCTATACCTGAATCACTGTGGAGCACATCAGAAACACAACACTGCAAACCAACTATACTTCAATTAAAAAAAATAAAATTCATGTACAAACAAAAATTATATTCTTATATCCCCTTGATTCCTTTAGGTGTCCATTCACATATTTTTAAGGAATTATGCTCTCATTTTTTAAATTAAGAAAATATTAAAATTGTATATATGTCTATGTATCTCTGCATATGTGTATATATTTTCCCTGCTCCTTATATGAACTGTAGCATATTATTTACTTTTTTTAACCTGCTTTTTTATTTTAATATAACCCAGGGATTGCTTCGTAACTATATATAAAAATATTCCTCATTCCTTTTTATAGCTGTATAGTACTCCATTGTGAGGTAACCATTATGTATTTTACTGGTCTTACATTGATGGGCATTTGGGCTGTCTCTTTACTTTTGCTGTGTTAAATAGGTTCTAATGAATAGCTTGGTACATACCTGTCTGCATTTTTTCTCCAGCAGATCTTTAGGATAGATTCTTACAAGTTGGATTACTAAGTCAAAAAGTAATTCTATGGATAATTTTGCTATGTATTGCCAAATTCCCTTTTATAGTGGTTTTACCATGCTATATTTCCACCAAAAATGTATGAGAATGCCTATTTTCCTACAGTCTCT